CCAATCCTTGCTTCCCATGCATGTCCATCAGTTCATTAGGAAGGCATCTGCTGGATGCATGAAACTAATCTGGTTTTTAATTAGTTCCATTTTGGAAAAGAGCTGAACTACATGTTACAGTAAATCAGTAGCATGGACGGGATAGTCATCCTTTTAGTCACCTTCATCTGATGCACAGAGGTCTGAACTGGTTTGGTACCACTGTATGTTGATGGGGGAGGTTGAAAGTTTCCACCCAACTATTGCCCCCTCCTCCAATTCATCCACCCCACATGGGGGCAATGAAAACAAGAAGGAAATCTCACTGGTGCAATTCTTTATTATTATTTTTGAGACCCCGTGGTGGTGGTGGAGGACTTTGTAATATAACAAGCCTGGATGGGAAAGTTTAAACCTCCTTACCTTGTATGCTGAGGGCCTGATCCAGCCTGGGACCCTGCACACTTACACTAAGGTAAGCAAAACATTCCAATCAGCTGCGTGTTACATAGAGTGCCATTTAGTCCTTTGTAAGGCATCTAGGTCTGTTGCCTTATTTGTGTTAGTAAGCACAACATTGATATAACTTCTTCCTCTCAAGGCATTTGAGGCAGTTTAATGAGAAACTATCAAAGCTTCCCAAAGTCAAAGCAAATAAAACAGCAGGTTCACCTCTGGCTTCTAGTGCCCACCCTTCTCTTCCATCTTTCCTCAGAGCACACAGGCATCGAACAAAGATATCTTATTCCACCCCTTCCCCAGGAAAATACCCTCGGGAAAGGGGCAGTCCCCCAGCCTCCTTCCCTCTCCCTCTGAAGCTCCTGCTGAAATGGAAGCCCATACAGCAAAAATACATGAAAATGGAGGATGGGGAGTTGAAGATCACCTCTAGTGTTCGTTTTCCTGGGCCAGCTTCAGCCCATCAGGGAACAAGAAACTTGGAAGTCTCCAAGACTGGGGTCTTTTGAACAGTGAAGGTACAATAAATACCACTGCGCTTAAGTCATGTTCTAACTAATATCATGGGGGAGTCTGGAAGTTTCCCTGGGGTCTGTTCCTTTTCTCCCTCGTTATGAGGGGTGAAGCAAGCACAGGGAAGAGTAGGTCTTCAGGCATCAGCAGTGTTCTTGGACCTTGGGATCCATGGTAAATTTAATTCCCATGGTTCCTGGCACACTTGGTTGCTGTGCATGATTGACTACAGAAATGGACAATTTGGGTCCTCCAGCTCTTTTGGCCCACAACTAACATCAGCTTCAGCTATTGCAGGAAATTGGAAGGGGTGGTGGAAAGTGTAGGTTGGAACATCTGGAGGGCCAACCCTCAGCTTGAACCTGAAGCCACAGTGTGTTCCTAGGAGTATTATTCTCACATGCTAATAAATAGCATTAGTAACGTAGCAGTTAAGAGGGTTGGATTGGGAGTCAAGAGACCTGGGTTCTATTCCCCATTTGGCCATGGAGCTCTCTGGGTGACTCTGGGACAGACACAGACCCTCAGTTCATTCTACCTCACAGGGCTGTTGTTGTGAGGACAGGATTCAGAGGAGAAGGAGAATTATGTAAACCACTCTGAGTTCCTCGGAAAGAAAGAAGGCGGGTAATTAAACAAGCTAGCAAACAAATAAATAAATACAGGAATTGTGGGGGGGGCAGCGTGATGATTTAGGGGAGACTTCTTGAAAACTCTGCAGCAGCCTGGGTCCAGTCTGAAACAAATTTGGAAAGCCAGACTCTAGAAATCCAGTGGATCCATGCTCTCCTTCAGTTTCCTATTCAGCCCTATGACTGGCCACAGCACTGCCCAATCCTAACTTTCTCCATATTGCATCCCCTGTCACATAAGCAGACAAAAAGACAAAATCTTCTTACTAGATGAGCTGGGGCAACATCTGCTGACAGCATTCTTTAAGCTGGGCTTTTACATGCTTGTTGCTGATCTGCTTTGCAGGATGCTGCATTCAGCCCTCCAAGAGATAGGAATCAACAAACGAGGTCAGGCGAACCCAGTTTTGAGAAACTGGGTTTTTTCTGAGACGTATTGGAGCACCATCCCTCCAAAGCACTGTCTTACCTAGATGCACTGCCAGTTTTCTAAAAAAAGAGGCCAATCTGTTTTGAAAACTATCTTTCCTACCTTACAGGAGTTAAGAAGAGGGAGGGGAATTATGTGTCTCTCTAGATGGAACTGTTGCATCAGCACACTTAGTTGAAATGCCATTGGTGTGATTTTTCTAATTTCACCAGCACCAGCACCACCACCACCAAATAGTTTTTAGCCAAAATTTTAATTGGTTTGATCCTTTTGTAAACTGTCCACAGTCTATGCAAATGGGGCAGAGTATAAAAATCAAAACGGACGGACAAAATATTGTGTTCTTCCAGATCCAGCCTCCTCTACAATTTTTGGTACAGGGGTAGGACTCCCATTCAACATGTCCAATGGTCAGTCATTCTGGGGTTTTGCAGGATTGCACCTTTTCCGGCCCTGCTCTAGAAATGAAGTTGCAGAAAAGTTTGGGAGAGGGAGAAAGAAGGCTGCCTTTTGCTGCATGAGACCATCGAGACATGTGGGTCAGCATGGTCAACATGGGCGGGGTGTAGTCACTGTCCAGGGCTTCAGGCAGGATCTTCCCCCAGCACGAACTGGAGGTGTGAGGGCCTAATCCTGGGACCTTCTGCCGGTGAGTAGGGCTCTATGCACAGCAGTGGGCAACCGGGACCTCTGGACCTCTTGCTTGCACTGCTGTTGGATGCCCGGCCATGCACAGGCCGCCTGCGCACCCAGCCCAGGTGCAGCCTTCCTTTCCATGCACCACAGGTGCCGAGAGACACAGTGCACTGATGAGAACCCTTGGAAAGACGAGAACGCATCCTCTGGCATGCCAGAAGTGAGCATACTTGTCCCTGCTGCTCACATCAAGCGATATTGGTCAAGCTCTATCCCACACGTTACACATTGCTTATGGCTCTCTTTCGCTTGCAATAAATGGCATGCCTGGGTTTATTCTGCATTACCTGATCTACCACTGATTTCAGAGCCAACAGGGCATTTGCTCTTCCAGAGAAAGACACGTTAGTGGTCACGTGCAATGATCTAGACAAAGACTTGGTAGTTATGCGTGTGGGGCTTTCAACCTTTGCAACCTGCCGTGATTCCAGTCTGGGTCACGTTCTGGATCGAGGCCGGGGCTGCAGCAGGAGGCAAAAGGCTGAGGCACATTATCTGACGCCAAGGCTCTGATCCAAATTGGGGACCTGGTGCCTGCTCTAAAGCTAGAACCCACACAACTGCAAAGTGTGTCATCAAACTTTTAGTTTGTCTCTCAGAGACACAAGTTCTAGAGACCCTAGGGTGGCCTCAGGCCTCCCTTGCATCTATCGTCCATCTGGAATAGCCATTCCTTTTCTTTCTTTTGCAGCCTCTCTCTCTCCCTCTCCAGTTGAGCTGTTTTGAGTAATTTGCTTCTTCTCCCCTCCTATCTGGTAAGATGCCCATCAGAAACCTTTCTGTTGGTAGGTGTGGGAGGGACAGACCACAACTGGCTGGTTATGCCCTTTTCTTCTCCATCCCTCTCAGATATTCCTCAGAAGTTCTTCTGGCATGGGACAGACATTACCAGGTGAAACTAGATGGTGCTACCCCAAGTCTGTTCTTTCAGCTCCTCAGGCCAAGATGTTCCTCAGAAGCTCTTCTGGTGGGAAGGATAAACCAGGGCTGGGATGCATGTATCTGCCTTTTCAAAGAGGGCTACCAGTTTTTATTTCAAATATTTGTGGCTTGGTAGGTCACAGATGGGTTCTGAAGTCAGGTCAGGGATGGAGCAAGAGCAGAATCTGTGCAGGTAAGCTGCAAGACCTTGGCAGGCACTGCTGCCTCCTGGAATAGTGGAAGAGACAAACAGGGCTTACTGGCTTTTCAAAACCCAGAGTGATTTCCCTGATGCACAGTCATTTTACTGGTCAATGCAATAAAACTGGGGTGGCTGGCCGTCCAGGTGAAATGGTTAGCCAGCTCTCAACATGCAACACCTAATGCTTGGGCAGAGCCTTGGGTAGATGCTGCAGACAAAACTAGCCTGAAAAAGGAAGGGTGGAGATTATGGTTCCAGTTAAAATGTCAGGTGTTGACTTGACTTACGGTCCTAAAAATATGTACAGAATTCTTAGCCTGACACATTTTCCCATTTCCAGAAATAAAGTGTATTCCCCACGTATTAACTACCTCCCATGTAGCCCCAAAACGAACGTAAAAGATGGCAGGTTGGATCCAAAGGGGCACGTCTGTTGATGGAAGCAATTCTAGGAGGAAGGAATTCTCCCTCTCCCAGGCATGCTCTGAAAGTTGCCTGGGGAGTTCGGAAAAGCCTCCAAATCACATTTCAAAGCAGCATGGAGGGCAGAAGCGGCAGGAGAGGGGGAATCCCTCCAAATTCGTGAGTAATGTTTGGAAGTGTGATGTTGGATTTAGCCCACAGAATTCTGCTTCCATCTTCCTCAGGAGATTCAAGGAATTTCTGAACGTATCAGAACTCTAAGTAGCTGATATCGATACAGTTAGCAAGCTGTTTAAGAAACTCACAGCACAATCATGTACATGTTTAGATTTTAAAAAGGTCTACTTCTCCCACTATTCTCCAGATGGGCTGGGGAACCCTATGAGTTTTCGGACTTTCTCTCTCTCTCTGAACTTCTCTGGTGGGATATAGATGTGGGTTTGTCACTTCTCCAACTGTCAAGGTATACAAGAAATTGATCACTTGAGATTACCAGTTTATAAGGTCTGACTAGTTGTTAGAAGAGAAGCAAGTGCGTTTGCTTATCTTGTACCTCATCTGGTGAAAGCTTAATGAATTGTTTCCTGAGCTGACTTACAATACTTTCAAGAACCTTTGTCTTTGCCCAGAACTGAGAAAGTTTAATACTGTGAATCAGGCTAAGTGTTCTGGCAACCAGACCCAGATAACACAAAACACTGTAAGAGTTTGATTCCACTAAAGGAAGAACAAGACTGACCAAAGATGCTGATAAGAATTTTTTTATGTTATTCCAATAAAAAATACATTCATACAGAAATATAACAATCTTGCAAAAAACAATTTCAAATAAAATCTTGTAAAACAAATTTTTTTACAAAAATCTTACAAAGAGATTCTTTAGAGAACAGGGTGCTTTCAAAAAACAAACAAACAGAAAAAGAAATTTTTACGAATAGAAATTTTCTTCTGAAATTTCAAGCAATTTTTTTCCTTTCAGCTTGATTGAGGCTCATTTATCACCTGAACAAAATGTACTTGTTTAACCACAAAACTGACAAGCATTTATTTATGCATGGCAGACAGCCCCCTTCCAAAATGAATGATATTTCATAACTGAGAAAAGCTAATACAAGGGATTTTGTTGGTTTTCTTTTTCTTTTCTTTTTTTTTTTTTTTTAGGAAAGCTGTTTTCCTTTTTTTATTATTAGTAAGAATTATTATGGCTAAGCAGAAGGCATTGCAAATAAGACTCAAAGGTTCCCCTCCAACACAAAACCCCCAAACAAAGAAAAAATCTCCAAAGTCGCCTTGGATGCATGTGTGAGGATTCCATTCTGCACATGCACAGAAATGAACTTGTACTACAGACGGGAGAATTTTCCACATATGAAGTGGCATCTCTTGTTGCAGCCACAAGAAATTTCCCCAACAGTGAAAAGAACAAGGCATTACATTAGAGCTCCATCGCTTGTAGATTGTATTTTTTGTAGATGCTACTTTTAAAAAAGCACTTCCAAGCATATAAACATATAATGCAATTCAAGATGTGTAGGCCTATGTGTTCCTTAGAATCAGATAAATTGGTGTGTAGCGTGTTTTAGAGAACTATTCATCTTCACCATTTCCAGGAAAAGCTACCTAAAATAGCAAGAAATGGGCTACAGATGTGGTTTGCATGTAAATATATTACTGTCAGAGGAGGAGGAGGCAGTGTTTGAAGGAGGGTAAAAAAGCACCCCTCATTGCACCAGTAAAGAATTATTTTTAATCTCTCATAAATTTGTTTTGCACCTTGAACCCAAAGGTGGCAAAGACCGTCAGGAGTGAGCTAAGTGGTCTCTAGCTATCTAGACAGACTGAGAGGACAGGAGCTGAAGGGCTATTGTGGGGGGGGGGGGGGAAGAATGCCCATCTTTAAATGGCTGTGAATGTAGCAGTTCCAGATGACTAAGGTTCTTTTAAGTTGGCAAGTCTGGCTTTAAAGTATTGTTCCATTTCAAATCTCCTTTGCAGTATATGAAAGCCACCTGAACATCTGCGAGGAACAGAAGTAGGCATAGGAGTTGGAATTATCAATTGCAAAAGGGGAAAAAAATATGTGGGAGGAAAGTATCCCTGGAACAAGAGGCCATGGAACAAGGCCCTGTCTCCAATGCATCACATGAGGAAGGGCTACTGTGCTCAAATGAGCACCTGGGAATTTTGGAACATGCAAAACGTTCCCCAGAACCAAACCGAAATGCAACAGCTCTCTCTTGTTAAATCCAGAAGCCCCAACTGGATTTTCATTAATATGAAACACAGGAAAAACAGAGAACTCCTGATGGGCTGTGATATTTTCTAGCAAAGAACTCAATTTAACCCTTTATCTTTAATATATTATCTATATATTTATATATTTATAGATATACACACGCACACGTACAAACACACGCGCACGCACACACATACACATGGAGCTACAGACACTGTACACGCAAATATACATACAATAGACATTTTCTGCCCACTTGGTAATTTTTTTTTTTTGCTTTTGTTTTTGTTTTATCAAAAAAAAAAGTCTTGCATTTTTTTCATTTTTGTTTAACCTGGAGAAAGATGTGGAACTTGTGCCTTTTAAGCAAACCTCTTTCTTTCTTTTGCTCCTGCACTTTTAAATATGCATGAGAGAAACATACTTTAGAAAATGCGGTTTTATTTGGCAATGGGGTGGGAGTAGGATAAGGTAATAGATTGTGCACGGTCAGATATCAAAAACAAAAACCCAGGGATTCTCAAGTTGGCAGAACTGATCAGATTATGCCGTGGGATTTTTAAAGTTGTCCATGACCCGAATGTTTCTGTACTTTGAAATCCTGTTCAGCAGTTTATGTCTCCTCTTCTCTTCATGATATACATTTGATACAGTACAACTGTCAGGTGACAAGAGAGCCTTAATGAAGCGTACTTCACCCATACCCCTGTATAAAACCCCTACAAGAGGCGGTCACTTTGCATAAGGCACCATTATTAAGGTCAACAGTGCATTAACAGCTAAAAAACCAGAAATGAAACCTCAAGGCATAAATAAAAAGGGGGAAAATAGCTGCATGAGAATTCTTTTCTTTTTCCTTTAAAAAAACCCATTTCTAACCTACAGTGGTTTTATCCACGCAACAGGACGAAAAATATATATCCAGGTTCTGTATGTTATGTAACACTAAACCAATTGCATTGTAGCAGCTTTTAACTGGAATTGAGAGAGAAAATAAAAACCTGCAGTCCTGATTAAAGAATGGAAAAGCATATAGTTCCCCAGAACCATGCAATAACCTTTGTATTATAATGAAAACATTATAGGTTGTGTTATATTGTAAATACACAGCTTATACAATGGATTACAAATGAGCATTGTAGCAAGTAAAAGAAACTACTTGACACATTGCACATTTAATAGCTGGACCAGACACCGAAAGCTCCTCTCACACAGGTTAGGGGCCCCTCCCTCCATTTCTGGTGTCTGACTTTCTTTCCCTCCCTTCCTGTCCCCCTCATTCTTTAAAAAAAAGTGCAGACACCTCCGTTGCTCCTGCCCCTTGGAAATGACTGGTGCTCATTCCGTCTTGCATTATACTCCTTGCATACACCCAAAAACAAAAGATCCCCCATTCAGCCGACCTTTTCTCTCTTACGGTTATAAAACAACCACAAGGAACGAAACAAAACATTGAAAAAAATATGCCTCAGCATACAGTCGCCCAGTAGATCCTCAGTAACATACAGTCGTCCAATCATTAACATTCTCAGTGCACGTGCTCACGGCAGAAGGCGTAGAAGCCACTCAGAAGGGTGGGTGCCAGCGGATGAGACCCACACCGTGCGGTCGCGATGCCGTTTTCTTACATGACTTGTGTAGCCCTCTGGAGACCTTCCACGGAAGAGAGGCCCTGGAGGCAACTGGGTTAGGGTGCAAAATGGCATGCTTTGGCTGGAATACGCATCCCTTCTTTCAAGGTCGGTTGACCCTGAAGCCTCTTAGCCCACAGGATTCCATCTCTTCACCCATTCAGAGATGCCTCTTCATGTGAAGGGCCAGGTGGTCAGACCTGGAGAAGCACCTGCCAACGAAGGAGGGAGCGCGTTAAGGTCATTTTGATGGAGGCAGTGGGACTCACAAGTGGAACGAGGGGAAACGTCATGGCTCAGGGCTGCGAGGGGGCATGCGGAAGGACTTCATCTGATGTGGGGCACCAGAGCACAAGGCCTCTTGGCACTGTAGGTTATCTGGCCTCTGTCCCCTTTCTGTAAAATGGGAACAGCAGACGCCTCACAACAATTGCCAAGGAAAATCTGTAACTACACAACTGGTTAAATTTACAAGCAATATGTGGAAGTAGCTCCCATAACAGTCCACTGAGGTTGACCTTTGAAGGCAGTGAGGTACTGTTGACTAGGCAATGAGCGAGGAAAGCAGCAGCCCGATCGCTCCACCACGTGGGCAGATGGCAATGTTGCATCTGAGCCGAGCAAAATCGTGGCACCTGGGATCTGGTCACCGATTGGCTGCAGCTATGTTTATATCCTGCCCTTACTCTGACAGAGCTCCAAATGGCGCACTGGTATCAACAACAGCTCTGTGAGGTAGATCAGGCTGAAAAGAATCCAACACCCCAAAGGAGGCATTATCAATCACTCTCCATGACAGAAGGCTGTTGAGTATTCATCTAACTTCTAACTGATTGGAGAAGGGGTGCAACAAAGATCACTTAACAGAAAAACTCTAAGATGACAGTAGCTGATCTGAAGAATTCACCAAAGGTGGTGAGCCAAGGAGAGAAACAGAAAAGGCACTTGGAAGAGGTCATCCAGTCCAATGCTTTACTCCAGTTGTTGGAGTGCCATATTTCTCCTAATTAGAGCTGATGGGAGTTGTAGTTCAACATCTTCACCACCCCTGCCTTATGTTGTTGAGCATTCCCTGCATTTTAAAACACACAATGGAGAGCTAACCTAACATTTCCTTCAAGGCATTAATTCAGTCACTGAAAGATTCTGTAATATTCTGGCAATTTGGTCAACCGTCTTGTCAACCGTCTTGTCTATCTGAAAGGAGCACAAAATGTGATTTGGGAGACCTAAGATCAAGATGCCCTGTTGTAACTCAGCTGCAGTGCCTCAGTGTAAGGAAGCTGGTCTATGAAAAAACTAATTAAATACATAAGTGACAAATTTCAACCCACTCTAGGAGTATTTCTGTTGGCTGTCAAGCTCTTATAGATTCAGAAAGTGTATTTTGAACTGCATGAATTGCCTTCTCATAAGCAGATGTAGGAATTATTCACCAGATCAAAGCAGTTTTATTTTTTGTAACCAGAAGATAAAGCTAACTTAGCACTGATCAACATAGCTGGATGCTTCCTTTTCAAAAAGCTCAGATGCCACAGGACAGATAAGTGTGTTGAAACAGTTTGCCTAGGATCTTTATCGGTAAAAGGTTTAACTTGGGAGCAGACTAATGTTGCATCAATTGGGTAACATGTAGCTACACTCTCCCTCCCTTGCATTCTTACTGAAGAGTAAGTACAGACAGCCCTGATTAAGACCAGGGCCAGCATGTGTGAAGAAAGGAGTGTTAAACATTTCCACCTGAGCTTTGTGCTTCCCTAAATTCCTGCACAATTGGGAAGGACAGGATTTAGGGATTGGCTTCCCCCAGTGCATGCCAATTCTGAGCCATATCAGGGCCACACAGAACAATTCTCAAGTGGGAAGTCATATAACTCATGTGATGTGTAGTTTGACTCTCCTTCCTTCCTTCCCACGGAAGGTCTGGGAGAAACACAGTATACACGATAAAAATGGAGCTTCCATTCACCTACCTGTCACAGTGATTACATTTAAAAGGCTTGGCTCCTGTGTGCTTTCTGAAGTGTCTGGTTAACTCATCACTCCTTGCAAAACGCCACTGACATCCTTCCCATGAGCATCTGTAAGGCTTTTCTCCTGAAAAAAGGGCGAAAAGTCCCGGATTATTAAACTTCCTCATCTCCCTCCAACTAAAGATGACTATCGATTGATTTCTTTTTTGTTTTTGCGTAGGAAACCAGGCTGCTTGCTTCCATTCATAAGAGCATGCCAAGTATTTCTGAGAATGCCGATGGAGAATTTAGATGTTTCTGAGCTGACAGCTTTGCTGCGACAGCAAAACGTTAAGTCCATCTGAAAGATGCCAGTAACATAAGCCTTCTGGAGCACTCTGTGTGCTAGGAACATTCTAGTGTCTAGAATACAGACTTGTAAGATCACTAAGTTGATCATTGTGAGTGAATAAGAGCTGCCTGCAGGTGACCAGGCTATGAAAGTTTACCAAAGTTTATTTCTTCAAGACCACCCAACATGATAGACATGTCTTTGGGTGTACAGGATGTGCAGGTATAGGAACGCAAGTAGCAAACATTCTTATGGCCTGGTGGCTTTTATGGAGTTATTAAATTAATGTAATACAAAAGGGTGGAAAATTGTATGCAATCACTTTGGAAGGCAATGAACAGCCTAACCTGCAAATTGGTCAAAACAAAGTATTTGGTTTCCAGCCTATTCAATCCCATTTGATGGGAATAAATGATATTAAGCCAGATTTACTCCTAAGTACTGTACATGAAAGATAATAAACTACAATTGATGCCTTATGATTTCTCCAGGCTTTTTTCTACTCCTCTCTCTCTGTAAGGATATAGCGGGTTTGACTGAATGTGTACTTGAACTGAGAATATCTGAATATCTTAGATATTCTCAGAGAATATCTGAGAATATCTAAGAGATACTTCTCTAGATAAACATTTTAAACAGTAAAAGAAAAAGCTACTGTCAAGTATACGAGAGACAGAACTTAGCAGACAATAGAGACTAACACCACTTTCAGATGTGTATTGGTCATAGTATTAGTTCCTTAAGAAACAAGCCACCAATTCAGGGGAAAATAAAATCTAGCCAAAAATTCTGGGTAAGATGTTATGGCTTAGCTATGGAAAATTGTGCTTCCTCTTTTCCTGGAAACTACCAAAACAGATTAGGTTTTTATTTTGTATTTAAGTTTCATTTCCACAGAAGAAAGGGCATGTGAAAACATATTATCCATTCCTTCCCCAGTTTGCCCAAGTGCTGAGGTTGGGAAAGCATAGTTGAGAGATTTTCTTATGCCTTCTCTCTTTGAATGGTAGAAAGAACATCTTTGAGGGGCAACTGTTTGCTGATCATCAAGATGCAGAAGCTAGCTCTGCACAGTGCAAAGGGCCAATGCATACAATCTAACCAGTCATAAGGTACTACAGAATATTCCTGCAACCAACTAACCAACCAAGCCAGCTACTACCACTATAAAAATTAATACAAACTCTGGAGTGCTCCTCCACCTTGTATCCTTTATGTGGAACTAGGGAACCCAGCTTTTGTTTTGTTTGGAAATCCAAGTTTCATACCAGTAAAATTCTGTATTCTTAACAGACTGAAACCACAAAAGTGTAAGAGCTTTGTAAAGTTCATTGTCATCTTCACAATAATGAAAGCACCACTCGGAAGATTCTTGTACTTCTGCTTATGCATACATAGCTAATTTCCTGATACAACACTCCAGCCAGCCAGTCACACTTCTGCTATTTCAGATCCAGCTTTGAATAAATGAGGAATCTGCCCTTCAGAGTCAAGATTAAATTCCCCATTTCTGATGCATTTCTCAGTTTCCTTTCTGTTGTCAAGTTTCAGATCAGCTATCCAGTTTTTGCTTCAAGGATCTCTCCTCTCTTTGGAAAGACTGAACAATTGTGCAATTTCTCAAGCGTAGGATAATTAAAAAACAAGAACCAGTCATGTGCAAGAAATAGCCCCTTCTAAGTTTTGAACAGAGAAGTTTGCAATGAGCTTATGGAAAAAAGAGGAAGTGATGCTTCGTATTCTGGGAAACCTCAGCTAGTATTGCATCATTTGATGGCCTCAAGCTCTTACTCCAGAAATTGTGTAACACTGACACTACTAGCAACAAGTGTTTTCCTAATAGGTGTCAGCAAGCAGAAGTAGTTGTGCTGCTAGTCATCTCTGGAAGACAGGACACCAGCTCTGCTGAATCCATAGATGAGAGGTGGGCCAACCTGTGGCTAGAATGTTCGGGCCACCGCCAGCACAGTCAACAGTGAGGGGTGATGGGAGCTGAGGTGTTTTGGCCTATGAAGGCTTCTGCTGGCCCTCTCCTGTCATAGAGAAAATGCCTAAAGGCTGCTTCAGTTCATGAGATTTTCTATCCAGCGACAGGCTGGATGGATTGGAAACCACAGCAGCCTGTCACATATTAGAATCCAAGTCCCAGAATCCTAGCAGAAGAAAGCTGATTAACCCTGAAAGGCCACAGGGAAGAAAGGGAGTTTCCTTATTTCATTCACATCCTATGATGGAAATCATGATGCTTCCACGATACAAATTTCAGGCAGTCTTGTAGCCCAGTACTAACTAGACCGAGGCCTACTTAGGTGCCTTCCGATCAGCCTGCATGCCTTAGCAGGCTGGTAGAATGAGGCAGACTCTAGAACCTGCATGTGAACAAGCGTATTTTAACGCCGTGGTTATATCCTACTTTTCCAAGAGTAACACTGAGAGTGCCCACAGAAAGAAACGCTGTTTGATTTCAGCAGATTGCTGGGGTACTCACCTGTATGGGTACGCTGATGTGCTTTCAGGTGTGAACTTTTGGTGTAAACCTTTCTGCACCCATTGAACTGACAACTGTGGACTCGCCTCCTTCCATCTGGAGAGGCATCACCATTGACCGAGGTACCTTTTTCCACAGTCTTTCCACCAGTACCAGTACGAATTTTGCCTGGTGAATGCAATTCACCAGGCACACAATTCCATGGTTGAGACGCTGGCTCCTTGCCCAACTCAGGAGAAGAAGGTGGAGTAGAAGTGACAGATGAACTCAAGTTTCCCGTGTTGGCCAAGCCTAAGACATCACTTATGGGATCAGAGGTAAACTTAGTCGTAGGTGAAAGTTCCTCGGAGCTATCTGATGATTCACTACTAATATCAGAATTCAAACTGTTAGTCTCTAAGCTCTGGCTACTTGCGCTGTCCTCCTTCGGAAGACATGCAGTCTTCTGCTCAGATTCTTCCTTCTTCTCGCGGGCCAGAATAATTTTGGTCCACAGATCCTCTTGACTGTCAAATTTTATCTCGGAGGCAGACACGTAGCAAGGTTCACTCTGAAGGTACCGTTCCAGCTCAAGGCAAGTCTAGAAAACAAACAAACAGATGTTTAAAAAATGTACAAACTTGTAGTGATAAACACAGTCTCAGCAAATACAACCCGGTCAGATACCCGCAAAGGCAGGGTGTTTATTTCTGGTTGCTAGGCTCCTTCAGAGTTAAAGTCTACTCAACCCTCGCCCTGATGACTGTTACTGTAAACACCGCAATTCCCAAGAACTGGGCAAGAATTCAAACCCAAGAGTTCAAACTACCTACATTCTCCGGCCATGACTCTTAGCGTTTTAACTAAATGGTCATCTCCTAGAAAGGAGATGTTCAATGTGTTAGCTCTGAAGGCACACTCTTTTCAACTGGACCTTCTCCAAACTTACAACTCTTTGTGCTTTACTGTGTTTTGTTACCCAGGGCTTCAAAAGGGGTTTCTGCTGAGGATTACCAAACTGGCCTTCCACCAAGCTAACTATGACTACTGCTTGCTCTAAACTCAAGTGGCATGTGTCGTCAATGATCCAAACTCAGGGACCATTCACCAGCCAGTCCATTTCATGAACATGAGCACTTGGGCCAAGGGAAACATGCAAACAATGTCATCTCCAAGTGTACTGGCATGTGCTTTGCATAACACGAGGTTGTACTGCCCCAAGGAATTTCAGTAATTATATTCAGAAAATATTCAGAATTATAACATGGCATTGGGGAAGGCAGGGCATAAGTGTCAGGAAAAGTGCAACTTCGGAGGTTCTGCTGGGAGACCCACAATGAAGGAGAACTTTATCTACTGGCCAAGAGCACAACAGCATGACTCATCTCCCTATTTCTTTCACTCCATGCCAAAGGAGACTTCCTTTTAAAATCCTGACACCCTGCCAAGAAGTACATGGTTCATATCTACATGCAAGGGGACATGCAATTAAAAAGATATAGCCTTACTCCTCCAAAAATGGCACAAACAAGCCTCGGAGTGACACAAAGATCCCCCACAACACCAGGCAGAGCTTTGGAGGCAACACAAGAAAGCCATGCAAGCATTACTTGGAGTGGAGGCAGTGTCTCAATGATCAGTGGATTAGCAGGGCTACAATGTAGGGTTTTTGTGTATTTGGGAAAATCCTTTCCCTGCAAAGCATTAGGCAAATAATTTTTAAACAAGATCCTTGCCTCCACAGCAGTGCGAAGAAAGATGACCCCAAAAGAAAATGCCACACATTTCTCCCCTCTGAAATGTCAGCTTAAAGAGACTGTCATAATACATTCCTCGCTTACGCACACTTATTTAAGAGTAAGCCCCAGTGAACACCATAGGATTGGGTTGTAGATTTTTCCTTCGGGTGGGGGGGGGGGAGAAGGCCAGGGAGAGCAGAGGAGAAGTGGAAAAATAACGCTACCTAATCAATATTTATACGTTTCCCTATAATTAGGCAACTGATTTGCAGCATACTGAACACACTCACACACGTACAGCCTGCTTCTTAACAAGGAATAAAATGCATTGCTCTTATAAGGAAATAGGAAGGAAATTTATAGAAAGAGCAGGTTAAACTTTCATAACCACGCCGATTTAAAATTCCCCTATTATGCAAATCAGCTCTGGGGGCCAGCCTGACGCTCAGTGGCTTTTTAAAATGCTTCCAAAGGCTACCGGGACTCAGATCTGTCTCTCAGCAAAAATCCCAAGATGCCTGGAGGAAACTACTTAGATCGATTTCAATCACGTACTATCTGCGCTGCCTTGGAAAGAAAAGGAGGTTGGGAGTACAGTGCGGGGGGAGCGGAGAACAGAATGGCAAGGCAATTACAAGCACGTAAAAAGGCTGTAACACTTTGGATTTCGGCCTTCTTGATGGATTCCAACTTTACAAATACAAGCCACACTTAATTTGATCTGGGCATGAAGTTGGGTAACAGAGCAAACATTGCAGGAAGGAGGCAAGTCAATAGACCTCTTCGCCTCCCCCTTCAAAAACAAACCAAACAAACAAGACGCGATGCAAAAGCAAATCTTATCTCCAAGCCATCCAATTCCTTGCGGGGGGGGGGATCCATGTCCATTAAAGGCAAGCAAGAGGGCTCAGTCTTTCCTCCAGCTGAACGCCTCAAAGCAATTATGCGAGAAGACAAAACAGAATCATTGTCAAATCAGTGACACGATGGCTAGGGGTGGGGGGAGAAAAATACTTCATGAAACTAGTAAAGCAGCAAACAGAGCGCTAGCCATCGTGGCACTGTCTTGAAAATTAGCAGTGTAAGCGAGGATTGACTTTTGGGGGGGGGGGACAGGAGAAACAGTCTGCAAACGAAAAAACAGTTCAGATGACAAGAGCCAGTTGTAACCTGGAATGCTGCCAGGAACTGGATCGAGCAAATGCGAAACGCTGGAGTGGAAGATTATAATATGATATTTATTTATTTGAGATGGCAACATTTCACTCTAGCGGGTGTTGTTTTCATCTGAGACAGAGAAAGAGATGGATGGGTTGCGCGCACACACACACACACACACACAAACGAGTGGAGGGTAAGGGCTGAGAAAAACCACTGTACGCTGAGATCTGACAGAGCCATTCAGAACAGCAGTGCACTGGCGACTGGCAAACCCATCATGCATTCTAGAGAGAAATTAAAATAACCGTACGGATTTCAGAACAGCCAAAAACACCTGCTCAAAATAAAACCAGTTCTTTTTTCCTTTTCAACGAGCCCAAATAAAATGAAATTCAATCACAGGCTTCTAAAGGAAACCTACAAGGCAAAACTCTGACCCAAATCATGTTGCTCCCAATCATACCGCTTTAAAAGCAACGTTGCCAAGCAGAACCCCCGCCTCGATTACCTGTTGCCAATATTCCTCCAGAGATGGCAAAGCAGAAAAGTAACCAGTGTCGTGGACAATTTGGAGTTCCTGAAAAATGCTACACATCGGGAGCACATCCATGTCTTGTTTGTTTGGAAGGGTGGAAAAGTTGCAACAAGAAACCTTCCACGAAGTCAATGTCCGATTGCAATGTCTTTAGAAAAATAATAACAACAATAACAAAAGCAATGTCTTTAGCTGTTGCTGCTGTCGACAGTAATCGCGCTGGCAGGTGATGGTGACAGAAATACGACCAGCTATTTACAAAGTCCCACTTCCTCCTCCTCCTCCTCCAGAGAAAAAGGACGACCACCAAAAAAACATTTAAAAAAAGACGAAGAAAATTTTTTTTAAGAAAAGCACCCTGTCTCTAGCTATATATTAAACTCCTGTTCAGTATTTTAGATGAAGATAGATTTCTTTTTAATAATACTATTTAAAAAAGCAAAGTTTCATGCAAAGTTTAATTGCACAGCAATAGATGGTTTATTATGATTATTTGCAAAGCCTCTCCAAGGCTGCTGGTTCTGTTTTCCACTCCTGGGCTCTCTCGAGAAGATACCTGCTCAGAAGCCTACTCAATATTTGCAAACACTGAGATGACTGCGAATGTAACCCCCTGCAAAACTTCCCTATTCAAAGCTCTCCTTGGCCAAACCTCCTCCTCTTTCTACTCCCTCCTCCTTCTACTCCCTCCTCTTTTTGCCCCCCTCCCTTCTGCTCCCAGGCTCACTCGCTCCTCCCCCTTTTACTCCTTCTCCCCCCTTCTCTCCCCTCCCCCTCCCTCCGCCACCTCGTGATCCCATTACGCCGGCCCCGAAAGCTGCCCAATCTCTAACAACAAACTCGTTACACCGCGTTCCAATGATGTCAGAGCCGCCCAATGGTGGCGCGCGACGCATCTCGGCTCCTCCTGGCGTGACCAAACCTCTCCGTGACGCCCGTTCCGATTGGTCCGATTCGAAATTCGTCCGGCCCTGATTGGCCGTCAGCAGGGCAGGCTATTTTTAGAAGGGTATATAATGCTGGAAGCCTGTTTTAGAGAAGCGACTCAGAGCGAAAGGGGGGAAGTGGTTGCTTGTTGTTTGTCGGTTCTAGGAAGGGGAGGAGGAGGGGAAAGAGGATGAGAAGTTGCAGTGCACTAGGTGGGCTTTGAGAGCGCTGCTGAGCCGTGCAAGGCGGATCGGGGAAGAGAACTGGCGTGTTAAGCCGTCCTTTCGCGTTGCAAGGATCTTCCTTTTTCAATAACAAGCAACGTGTGTATGTGTGTGGGGATGCTCATTACACGTGGAGCTGTTCCTGACGTGCGCCTTCTCTTGTGCATTTTTCCGTGCACGGGCCGTAACACTGAGCTCTTTCGTTTTCTTCGTATACCTTGCCCCTTCTGTGCTTGTTTGGTGTTTTGCTCTCGAAGCGCCGTGGTTGCTTTTCCGTGCTGGAGAAAGGGGTCTGGATCCTGTGTGTGTTTACTCGGGTCGATCTCACGGAGCTCCCACGCTGGGAGGGGGTTGGCGAGGTCTTCCCGAGTCGATACGTTTTGTATTGCAGCTTCAGTAACAGGATTCTGCTGAAGGATCCTCAGCTGCCTAGCATTCCTGGTTTTCCCTGCCCCCTCCTCTCTTCCCCTCCCCCTCCCCCTCGCTTTATCTGCTCTTGTGACTGGAATCGTTTTTTGTGTTTTGCTGTTGCTGGTGGCGGTTCACATGCTGAGTGTGTTTTTAACCCCAGCAGTCAACCAAGTATGCTGGGCATGCACGTTTTTATTTATTGAGCTATTTGTGGTTGGAATGTATTGATCCCTATTCTGGAGCATGGAAAATAACCTATGTGCGCACATACAAAGAAAAGGCCTATGGAATCAGTTCCCCCCCAGCCTTGCCCCTTCTGGAGTTTAGGACCCAACAACCCCAGTTAACCATGACTTAAGAGTAGGGATGGTGGGAGTTGGAGTTCAAAACCTCTGGAGGACACCAAGTCAGGGGCTGCATTAAATACTTAAAGCATCCTTCTCTGCCTACTTAAACTTAACCACTAATGGCTCCCTAGCCTGCCTTGCCCACTGGATTTAAAATAAGTTCTTGTCACAACTTTGGAGAACATCCTGGAAAAAGGTACAAGCATATTAGCTCATAAAGCAGCTACCTAGAATAATTTTCTGTTAGGGTCACTGGGTCACAGTCCAAAAATATTTGAATTGTCCAGTGCCGTTTTTCTCTTCCGTGTTTGCCTCATCTTCTAGCTTGTTATGAATCCAGTTCAAGTTCCTTAGCAAAAATTAGTGCTGGATAAAACCTGGATTGAGTCACTGGGACAACAGATTCTGCATTACAAAATGCAGTGTGGCTTTTTAGGCTGCACCACAGAAACTACTTCACATTCCATAGTCAGGTTTTTATAATAGTGATGCAGCAGAAGGAAGGAGGACAGTATGGCATATTGGAAGAGTATTGCACTAGACCTGGGGAGAACCAGACTCAGTCATAATTTTACTGAACCCATTGAAGTCGGTAGGACTTAATGGTCACTGCAAGCTCATAGAATCTATGAGATCATAGAATTCATAGAATCATACAGTTGGAAGAGGCCTAGAGGGCAGCTGAGTCCTGCATTGAATGGAAGAGTGAATCCAAGTCTCCCAGCCAGATCTGATTCTGCTTAGCTTTGAAGATTAGGAAGGATCAGGCACTTCAGGCTAGGTCAACAGTCAGCATAATCAAGTATGGATGCAACTTGGGTCAGTCTCTTCTCAGCCCCACCTGTCTTTGAGGGTTGTGAGGATACAGTGAGTGTGGGGAGAATCACCTTCAGGTCCTGAGAAAAGGTGAGCTGGAATTGCAAGATGTGAGAAACTCATGAGAGCAGAATTCACTCTTTGGCAGGTATTGGTAAATGTGCTTCTGCTTCAGGATTAATTTCTTGCTCCCCAGTGATTAGAATGTTTCCCAATTCCATGCTGAAATGCAGTATTGGTAGTAGAAAAAGGGTCTGAGTACCACTATGGTGTGGGGGATATAGGAAAAATTCCTGCAAGATGAAGTCAGCCATGAGGCCTGAAACACTTGTAGGTAACTGCAGAAACATTTTAGCCTGAGATCTAAATTTTGGAAACGTGCTCAGGCTGTTTCAGTAGCGGCTGGGGGAAAAAACGGTTTTTCTGCTTTTTGGGATGGGAAGCAACTGCACAAAACCACTGTACCACCAAATGTTGGGTGGTTCTGAAAGAGGAATTAAGGGAACGTAGTTTTCCTTGGGACCCCCGGGGGGTGGGGTCTGCATTGGGACTCCATCAAAGATCATGACCACCATCTCCGGTTGTGCTCAAAGTACATTGTATGGGCACTCTCAGAGGAAGCTGCTTGTATTTGCAGTGGCAGCATTGCTCTCCCAGGGCTCTTTAAAGGCAAAATAAAAAACACTGGTGTTATGTGAGCAGATTTGGTTATGGAAATATCTCTCTGCTTTCTGCAGCAGCTACAACTTTCTGCTGAAAAGGCGTTTACATATCATGGGTATGGTAAAAATTACTCCCTCTTCCAGGTTGTCCAGTGCTTGGTCATGCATGTCAGCACATTTAACAGACCTCGGCTGGATGATGTGATTGCTACTCTGCTCAATAACACAAACGAGAAATGCGTGAGAAAGGTGTAAACTGTACAGCTGGCAACAAAACCATTCCATAAGACTTGGTGGGATAGCTAGGCCCAGGGCAGATGATGGATGCTTTCCTCTACATGGGCCCTGCTTTAGGTAGGATAAGCAGTAAGACTTGTGTTTATTTCCCATTATTGAATCATTCCTGCTGCTGCCAGGAATGTTGTAGGAATCTGCAACGGATCCAGGTAAATGCAGATTTCTCTGAATCTTCATGAATTCTGGAGTGGGTCAGCTATTCTCATGTCATTTGGATCTTGTGCTGTTGAGGATTAACTTTTTTCTCTCTGCTGAGTTGTGTACAGACTTCATATAAGAACATGAAAAAGAAACATAAATTTTAAAAATGCATTCCCTGTAAACTAAGGTATATAAATACAGATTTGGGGGAGATTGGCTCACTTTTCATAGTTCATTTCCTGTCTGATGAGGATTTGTCTGTATTTGGATTGTTGTAAACTACCTAGAGAGTTTCAGTATAGAAATACTAATAATACTTTGAATTAGCCAACATATACTAATAGAGATAGCGTATTTGAACATCAGTGTAAATTTGTATGTGAATTGGTGGAAAAGGGAATACAGTTCTACAGAAACCCTGTATCTAGCAATGAACAGACGGAATGAAAGATCTGACAAGAAGTGGAAAAAACAGGATGGATTTATACATCTTAATTGTTACTCAGCACTCCATTTAACATTTTCTGGGATGCCTGTAAACCCCTAAACCAAGCTTTATGGGTCGGTGGAGCAGAAAAGTCAGTCCTGCTTCCTAGTCCTCCAATTTGCTCTTTGGTTTTCCCTTCTACCTTGGGGGTCTCAGAGGAGGGAAGGAAGCTGAAGAGACATCAGGATAGTTCTCATTGTGGAATCTTCAGTCTTTTCCCTTCTCCATCCTCAAATGCCCTATTTTGCCCCTCTCCAAGATGACTCTGTGGACATCAGAGATGGTACATTTTTTCCCCCCGGGCCAGTGGTGGAGGGGAGAGAGATCAACGCTTGCATTTCCAGCTCTGAGGTCCAAACAGTGTCTTTGACCCCAGGGCTGAGAACTGGGGCCATCCTATGGCTCCTCATGGGATGGTTTCCTAAACACTTATCTAATGGAACATAGGTAAAAGTGTGTGACAACATCCAAGGTGAGGTCCCCCAACTAGCACGAAAACCAGAGTCAAGGTCAATTGCAAGCCACTGCAATTCAGAGAAGTGGGGAGCACTAGAAAACGACAACCTTTTAAAGTAACAATAAAAAAGTGAACAGATGATGCACTTAAGCAGCACTCCGCCAACTACATGTGCACTGAATCCCAACAGTGGACTCGGAGTCTAAGATTTCCCACTGTTATCCAATTTCATTACTTCATCGGAAGCACATAAGGACATTTTTTCATAGAAGGTGGGCAAGTTCCCCTGCCTTTACAAAAGAGCCTGGGAAAGTGATTTTTAACAGTTTTGTCCAAAGCAGAATTATTTGCCAGGGCAGGCATTGCTTTTCACTGGGACTAGCTGCATGCCCAGTGCATACGGGATGATTACAGCCTCAATGTGCCTGAGGTCACATATTAATGGCATGCGCTAGCTTTTCGCATTTCCGTAGAAGAGAGGGGTGCTTCTGATGTTACGCAGCAGATGAGATTCTTTGGCAAACCTCATAGCTGTAGGCTTTGTACAACTGCTGGAAATGCACAGTGAAATCACCTTTGCTGCCAGTTGCCTGTTATCATTTTTCCCCTCCTATCTTTAGAATCTGTTTGATCTCAATGGTCTGGAAGTTCTCTTCAAGTCTCATCTTGAAATAAGTTCTCAGTGATGTTTCGGAGGGTGAGGGGAGAAAGGGGGGAGCTACTGATTGCTTTTAACATTTAGCTGCCATTAGAATCATAATGTGTTGCTTGGATAAATACTGGCTTCTATACAGCCACTTTAATTGTGTTTAAGAGAAGAGTAGAATTTCTTAAACGTGTGCTTTTCTGTATACCTGAATAGCAGCAGTAGCACTTGCGAAACACCCATGGAACAGAGGAAAAGTTTGTTTAGCCACCATCTGATGTGTTGAAGCGGCTATTGAAGTAAGACAACTGTGAACCAGAGGTCCAGACCAGACACTCGGCTATCATGTGCCACAAACCCGAGGTTGTACCACTCCGAGAATGCAGGTATCCCTCACCTGGACAACTAACATGTCAGGAAGAACCCTAGACTGGCATTCTTTTTCCTAACATGCTTGATTTCTCCAGGTGGGGAGTTTTGGAGGAGGTTCCAAACATGCAGTCCTCTGCCTCTGACCCAGAAGGATTGTACTGTGCGTTTTTGTCTGTCTAAATCCTGAACTGAAATCTGATGTGCCCTGAAATCTTGATGAGAGAAAAATGAAGCCATTTTTTGAATTGACTGCAAAGGAGGGAAGCATGCAGAGAAGCAACCTGACCAATGGTTCTTTTGGCAAAGCAGGAAGTGTTGTTTGAAATTACAAGGCAAGAAAGGTATTGATTAGAACAAACATGTACAGTCTTTACAAATAAAGTCAACTGTGGAATCTATTGTATGGTTAGATTTGGCTTCTCAATAGCTCATATAATTTTATAGGCAACTTGCTAGGAAGGATTTTTTTTTAAACAGCAATTAACTTTTTGATGAACAAATATCCATTGGTTGGAACAAATATCCAGAATTCGCCTTCCACAATAGTAGTGAATTTTCATGCATTTGTGGAAGGTCCCCATAGCCAGTTATCTCTTCCCATGGAACAGGGTCTCTTGTCTCTCTCCTCCATGTTGAGGGGCTTGGAAGTGTTTCTGCAGGAAGATGGGCCAGGTAAGCTGACCTTTTTCAGTGTGGTGGATCCAAAGTAAATCTGAATCTAATGCTTTAACTGGAGTGTATTGAACTTTACTGGCACCTAATGAACTTCACCGTATCAACAATTGCAGTCCACTCCCTCATCAACTGCCTGAAACAGAAGTATGTGCAATGGAAAAATGGTGCATTTTCTTCCATTGTGTCATAGAGATGTAATCTTTGCTTCCTAACTCTGTTCACTTACAGTACAGAAAGCTGTTGCACACTTTCAGTCTGAAGTATACTGGTATATGTTTCTGGCAAATCTGTGCAATTGCATAATACTGATGCTTTGCTACTTGTTACACGAAGTAGTAAAACTTATATATTAGGAAGTAGGGAGGTTACTGCATATTCTAGTTCCTTGCCGATGCTAAGAAACCGTCGTTCTGGAGTGAGTGGGACCATTCATACAGCTACGAATCAGAACAAGTTTCCAAGTTTATGTCTCCCATTTACCCTTAAGGACATTACATGTATATAATGACCATGAAAATTTCTGAAGTTTTTGGTGATCCTTGATTCTTTTGACAGCTGCATACTTATATTTCATTATTTCCAGAAAACAATGAGTTCGCTGATTCATAAGTAGAAAAACACGCACTTACATCATACTGTACTATGTACTGGTATTTCTGCAAGAAAAGAGGACACTGTTCTGCTTTATGTAATTGTCCTACTGTAGTCAAAAGTGCAGCTTTCCTCAGTGTTCCAAGACATGTACCTGCTTAGGTGCAGACATGCGTTTAAAAACACAAGAGTATACGCCAAGGTTTGTGATGTCTGTTTCTTTGGAAAGGGGGTCGCTTAACACAAGACTCAGGTTTCAGACCAAATAAATAAAAAGCAGGGTTAAGGGCAGGGATTGCTCTCCAGAAAAATACAAACACCCACTCTTGCAGTTCTGTTTTAAAAATCATGACCCTGAGGCCAATGTCCAAACCACAACTTTGCTAATCATTTTAATGTTTGATAAATGTCATTGTACTAAAGTTTGGCTGGAATCCTTGCAGGGGGGTGTCTGTTTTAGCAATGTGTGAGGAATCTGGTTTGGGGTTGGGGATCTGTTGCATTTCCTTAGCTGGGCTTGCTGGACCCTTAGCTGGGCTTTCCGCCCAAATTCCACTTTGTGCTGAGCTTTTGGGTGGGTGTCCGGTGGGGAGCGGGATGGTAAAGCTGGCTGGCACACCCACTGTTTGGATGGCAGCTGTGCAAGTGGCGTTGTGCACACGTGACTTGCGAGACATTGCGTACTTGTGTAAAGAATCGTATTCTTTGTGTAATTAAGTTTCTAGCATTGTTGAGTATTTGCTGACTGGATCTCAGCTTGCTTCCTGGCCAGGGCTTAGTATGGGATGTAAGTACTAGAAAGAAGTCTGGGAAGCACAAGAGAGCTAGACGGTGGCCTGACCTCGGCTCCTCATCTCGTTATTTAAAGCAGAGTTGTCAAACCCCTTTTAGCCTTTGGGCCAAAATCTATTTCAGGAAAGCTCTCGGGGGGTGCCTTTGGACAGTGGGTGGGGGCAAGATCTCAAAAAGCCAGCTTGGTTTAGCTTGAAGCTCTTATTTCTGTAAGGAAGGCAATTTGAATTTGTAGAATGCAGGGCAACGAGGAGGCCTGATACATGAGCAATCTGGAAAACTGCCCAAAGTCATATCACGCTGGTCCTATATCGTCTACCCTGGCTGCCAATTGAAGTCCGGGCCCAATTTAAGGTGCTGGTAATGACCGATGAGGCCCTAAATGGCTTGGCTCCTGGATACCTGAAGGAGCGCCGCCTTGCCTATGTGCCTGCCTACCCCTTGAGATCTGAGGTAGAGGTCCTTCTCCAGGAGCCCTCTTTGAAGGGAATTAGAAAGGGAGCTACTCGGAGAAGGGCCTTTTCAGTGGTGGTGCCCCAACTGTGGCACATGCTCCCCAGGGAGGTTTGCCTGGTGCCGTCACTTTATTCTTTGCAGAATCAGGTGAAGACCTTTTTATTTTCCCTATTTTTTAACAGTTAATTGGCTTTATCCTTGTTTTTAATCATCATTAATTGAATGCTGTGTGTTGTGGTTGTATATGGTTGCTTTGTCTTTTGTAAGCCGTCCAGAGCCTTTTAGTATTGGGGTGGCATATAAAAACTTAATAAACTAAAATAAAATGTTTTGTTCCATGGTCTCAGACACAGTGCTAATGATTTATAGTGGAGCTTGGTGTGTTCTCTCTCTTTCTCATTGTAAAACTAATGGGAATTAAGCTTCCAAGATGGCAAGAAAGTCATACAGAGATGCTTTATGGATGGGTACCAGTGGTCCGTGGTCTCTGTCTTCCTCTTGATCTTTGTCTCTCGAGGCATAATCCTCTGCTGGCCAGGGAGTACTGGGAGTTGTGGTCCAGGGATGCGTGAAGAATCTGCTCGGGGTGGGAACCTGTCCAATTCCCGGAGCCCCCTTCCTGGACTCCAGTCTGTTTGCAGAGGCCCTCAGGCTGAGTTTGCGAAGTGTTCCCCAGGGATGGAGCCCCACATGTTCGGCCAGCAGCACCGTGCTTGGCATGACTGCCGTGCGCTGCACACCCTGGGGAAGAAGGTGGGGTGCCTGGAATGGCACCTGGGGCGACCACGCACAGTGCTCCTCTTCCACTTCGTGCAGGTGCTCTCTGGGTAGCTGCACCTGATGGGAAGGTTGCTGGTTGCCCAGCTGGGAGCCCATGCGAGTTTGTGGGCCTCCCCTTGGCCCAGCTCACTTTGCAGGACCAGGGTTCATCCCAACCCTTTTATATAGTCCTTTTACCCATGCATAAGTTTGTCCCCACAATTAACTTTTCAACTGGAAGTGCTGCTCTTTTCTACCATTTATGTCGAAAGACTGTTTTTCAGAGCTCAGATTCTACCCCCATCTTGTCCTTGAAGTTCATTTATTGAGCAAGATGGTTTTATTCCAGTCTCATAATTTGTCTTCTGGGGAAGAACTGTTTTCATCAGCGATGGCCACCAGAGCAGTCATTTTAGGAATGGGCAAGGGACCACTTACAACCATTTTATGAGAGTGCCCAAAACATTCTCAAATTCAAAATGTGTTCAGTAGACCTCCCCCCGAGAGCCCCTTCCCCCACTTTGGGACCTCTGCTTAAAGCAATTTTTCTAGTATAATCTACTAAATCCAGAGTGAAGGCCTGGCTTTGAATCTGGGGTACTGTGACGAGGGTTTATTCCGGCAATTCTGTGAGGAAGAGTAAGGCCAGAAGGTGAAGGAAGCAAGCATGACTCATCAGTTGATAGGTGACCTACTGTACTTGCAATTGTTGGAGGGAGAAGTCCGCTAAAATGAGATGGTGAACTGGTTCGCTCTCCACAGAATATCAATGACACACCAGTAAGTTGTTCCGCTGATGACACCATGGAATGATGAATTGCTTGGAGCAGTTGTGAAACCACCATTACTGGAAAGTTGTCAAGGCGAGACTAGACATGGATGTCAAGGAGAATGTGTGGAAATCGGTGACTATTAATAAACAAACACTTCAGCTGCTAGGCTAGCCGCCCAGGTAATCTTTGTGTTGTAAACTGACCCTTGCATTCACCTTTGGACGAGATGTGCAACCTGATTCAATAAACGAGATAAACTTGAACCATATATGGACTGTGCTTAATTTAAAACAGACATTATGGTAATCCACAAGCCCAATTCAGATGTTGTTGCAAGCAAGAGAACTCGTGGGGCTGCGTCAGCGAACCTTGGCCTTGTGCCACAGCATACCTGTGCCCAAAGGGTCCCGGCAAACAGAGTGAATGTAACGGCACACACGGGATTCCACACGAGAACCCTAAATGCACGGATGACTTTGGGCAAAGGCGTGTTGTGATGAAGCGCTAGGGGGCGGGCCTCTTGGCACAGCCGTGCCCTAGCTCATAGGACGAATTTTACTACTTTCAGTCAAGTGTGAATAAGACCACAAGAACATGTTGGTCTTCTAACATGGGGAAACATCTGGGTGTACCTGAATAACAGGGTTGTCTTGTTGACCAGATGCAAGTTGTTTTACTAGCCTTTCTGCTTATTGTATTTAAAACAGGTCCAGATGACAGGACTACAACTCCCATCATCCTGCAGGCAGGCATCCAATAGCTGGAAGACACTAGCTTCCCTGTGCATGTATGGAAATGAAACCAAAGCTGTGAAAAAGAGTGCCTTAGACCAGTGGATTCCAACCTTTTCCCCCCTTGCATTCTCCTTGGCAGCCGATTTTCATAAATGCTCACAGGACTGACTGAGGTGCCCAGTTAATACACACCGGTGCAACAGCACTCAAAAGTTTTTGGGACATAGGAGAGCGGAAGCTGAGCCTGTGAGGGGTGTGCAGTGTAGTGGGGTATTTGCAACACATTGTTTAGGGAGATACTCCCCACCATTCAAAATAACAAAGGTAATGTTATGCATATAATACACTCATTACTGAGTGTAAACTGTTCAGAAAGCCAACATGGTTGTATTGAACAGTTACATTTTTTTAAATAAAGCAAAGGGATTGTTTTTGTTTTGTTCTTGCAAAGTTAAGTAAGAAAGGAAGCCCACTGCTCCCCTTGCCATAACATTCAATTTCACAAAGCTTGACTTGTATCTTGTCTTGCACTGTTGACATACCTGCTGTTATGGAACCCCTGAATGTCCTGGTTTGTACCTCTGGGGTACACATACTCCAGGTTGGGAATCGGTACATAAGTACAGTCTTGTTGGACTATACCCTGTACTTTAAAAACTGTGCCATAGAAGTAAGTGGGAAGAGTGCAGAAAGCACCCTCAGATGGACAAGTGTCTGCTAAGAGGAAGGTTAAACTTCTGGGACTGTTAAGATTAGATAACAGGCAGGTTATAGAGAAATCTAATTGGTGTACAAAGCCTGGATGGAGTGGACAGGGAGGTGTTTTTCTCCCTCTTGCAGGATAATAAAGCTCAGTCATCTCATGCAGTTGGAAGGGTGGAAGATGCTGGACAGATCAAGGATTCTCTTGCATGGGTCAGAGTTCAGCTGTGCCATTCACTCTCACAAGATGCAGTGACGGCTGTCACGGTGGACGGCCTTAGAAGAGGACTGCACAAGTTAATGGAGGAAAAGGCTGTCGATGGACACTCATCCTGGGGCTATGTTTTGCTGGGTGATAGGTCTGCGTACCCCAGTAGCTGGAGAGCTAAGGTGGGAAGCGGCTGCTGCACCTGAGTCTCCTGTGGAACAGAGAAATGGACCAGGTGGATCTGCTCTGATCCAACAGCTCTTACATTTTCACTCACAGGTATTGCCAGGTGGAGTGCAAGGGGAAAGACGCCAGGAGAAGTTGTTCTCGAGCCCAGACCCTTGTGGTCCCTTGAAGGAAAGGCAGTTGTCACATATCTGTAACTGCACCATGAACTGGAAATCTACGAGGCTGCCCTCCAAAGTGTGCTTGTATAAACCTCAGTTCCATCAAAGCAACATTTCTTTTTTTTATAATAAGTTTTATTCAAAATTCTAACCCTAAAACAAAGAAAAACTAAAAACAACATCAGTCATCAGAAACATTTCTCAGGTGGGCTTGGCAGCCAGCAGGAAAGTGAGGAGAGCTCCTGTTCAGAGAACTAGATCTCATGGTCTCCAAGAACCAGCCAGTATTCTGTGCTCCCTGAGTGTGTTCAAGCTTCATTCGGCTGATCCTGTGTCCTAAAATCATACAAACATGGGATAGTAGTGTTGAAAGTGGCCAAGAAGGCCATTGGGTCCAATCCCCTACTCAGTGCAGGACTCCAAGCTAAGCCATCCCTTGCCCTATCTCTCTCCTGACAAAGGTCATTCCACAGGGTGACCAGGGCAGCCTCTGTCCCAAATCCTGGCCTGCAACCCAACTGAAATGGGTCTGGATAATCCATTTCCTCTAGGAGCACCTTTTCAAGCCTTTTGTTTGCAGCTGTGCTGTTTTGGCTAGATAAGGATTGGCATTCACACAACCCACTTTGCTCCTAGTAGGCTTGCATTTTGTCTGCAGCTTGGACAAGCCCCTGGGAAAAGGGAACTTGAAGAACAGCTGTCCAAAGAGGACCCTTTTTCATAATCAGCTACAAAAGTCCACGTTGATATCTTAGCCTTCAACAACTATTATATGAAATTTATACCTTGCCTTTCCCCCTCTTGCAAGGAAGCCAGGTCAGCTTACGTGCACTTCCTCCTCTCCATTTTATTCTCACAACAACCCTGTGAGGTAGGCCAATGGCTAGACCAAAGTAACCCAGTGAACTTCATGGCCAAGTGGTGACGCGAACCTGGATTTCCTGGTTTGCTGGTCCCTTTTCATTTGTTTCCTTTCCCACCCAACTTTCCTAGATAAGGACTCTTCATGCAGGCATCTACGTATGCTGTGAAGGTTCTCTCGCCTGTGGTGGATGGAGGGGAAAATTGCTGCCAGCTATTAGGCTTAATAGCAGTTTTAATCTGACTATATTGGTGCTGCAGCAGAGATGAATGTGCATAGCCTCAAATCAATAAAATAAAAACCTGAATAAAAGTTTAATAAAAAGTTGGAGGGATTGGGGTGGGAGAAAAAATTACCATCTGAAAGAAAGGAAGGCTAGCTTTACTGGTGTATCCTATGTTTTAAAAATGTAGGATATAAATACAATAATTACCCGCTTGCTGAGAAACTGGGATTGGAGGGTTGTCTTAATGTATGAACAGTTGAAGTAATTATAATAGTAATTTAAAAATAATGTAATTGATTGTAGACTTTCAATCTTTCCAAGAAGCATTTTCTACTACTTCGAGTCAGAGCAGTGTAAATCTTTGCCAATAGCTGTTTTTCAACAGGAGGTAAAGAGGAACTTTCCCTGTCAATTTTCCTATCCAAAGCTGTCACCTGTTTTCACTACTTGTAGGGGTCCCACCAGCCCCCATTTCTTTCTTTCCTTGAAGAAAATATAAGGCAGTTTGTTTGTGACAGGTGGGAATTCATAGCATTTCTTAAGCACACACACATGCACACAATTTTTGGGAAGAAAATACTTCTTTTTAAGAGACAAAAGTTAGCTTGACATTACTGTTGAAAGCTATGTGTTGTGCATATGTACATTTCTTGGGAAAGCATCTTCTGTATAGCCTGAAGTGCCTGATCCGTGATCAGGCCTGGTTAGACTTGGTGGGTGATTCGAGTGTGTGATTCTATGCTTATTGCTGTAGGCTGCTTCAGCTATGGGCAGTATAAAAATGCAATAATGATACAGGTCTTCGGGAACATAGAGGATTTGCAGTGATGAGATGTCGCCATAGATACTGCTATGACTTGTGGGGAGCATCCGAAATGGGGTGGTTTTCCCCTCGTAGCAGCTTCTGAACCATGACGGTTGCTCTTCTGAGGTTGGAATAACTCAGGGGAGAAAGGAGAATGGCACATTGAAAAAGGGAATGGATCCAATGAGTTCCTGCAGTGTCTCAACCATCACCGGTCAGTGAGACAGGCTAAGTGGGTACTCCGGCTGGAATCACTTTTTACAGGAAGGAGGAGAGGCAAAAGTCGCTTTTGTTGCCCCTTCCACACTGCTTGGTTCTTGCCAGCAAGGGCATATGTAACTGGAGCGCTCTGTTTCCAGGCCTCAATCTTTTGGGAATGCACTAGAAAGGACCGTACTTATGAGTGTGATCATGTGAACTTAATTCGAGAGACATGCTAGAAAAACCTTTCTTTCAAGGATAAATTCTGTATCTTGCTACTTCAAGAGTTGACGATGTAGGAATAAGCTGTAACCAGCTGATGTTTTGCTGCTGTCATCTGATTGAAAGTACGGTAGCATAAATCACACTTCTGTTCATGAGGTTTGCGTGAAGCATTTTGGGGAACACACACAACTATGTTGTGTAATCATTCTATTTATTTGGATTCCATGGTCTGCACTTTTCAGTATTTTTTTAACTGCTAGGAACATTTTAGTCAAACAAAATCTTTGTTTTTAAGGATGTCCTGACTCCTCTTGCACATTCTGTGCTGAGAACACAATCCATCAGCATGAATGGTGAAATTATCTGATCCAAAATATTTCACATAGGAAAGAAGGACTGGTTGCCAAGTCAGCAGACAACTCTCCCACGCAGGAGTAACGTTACACCTGTGAGGTGTGTCACTTCATCAATGCACATGGGTAAATGCTTCCATTGTCCAGGCTGGGACAGAATGTTTTATGATGATTATGATTAATAACTTATAACCTGGAAAGAAGTGCTCAGCAGCCCCAGACAACAAATCTGTGAAGAGGAGTTGCCTGTGCCTGAGTAAAATACCATTCATTAGTGCAAGCGGTATGTGTCTGGGGATGCCCTTGGCTGAGCCATCCCTGGAAGGTGTCCGTATGGCCCTTGTTGGCAGAGCTTCTGCCACAGTGTGGTGCTTTTGATGCTGTTGCACCTGAGTTCACAAGCACAATGCCTTGTTTTTCCTCCTGAGGATTCCATAGGAACACCCAAAGAGTCCCTGTCTGCTCCAGCATCTGGTATCCTGCAGTGGCCAACCAGATGGCACCACAAAGACCCATCAGGACTGGCCTTAATCCCTAACTGAGGAAAACTGGGAGCTGCTGGACTCTTTTTTTTTTTTCTTTTCTGGACATGCATAGGATAGTGCCCTTCAACTCCAGAGGTTTGTCTTAAAGCTGTCTAAGTTGATGTAGTGGCCGCCTGGTGCACTTGGGAATGCCGTTGGAGCTCTCTGGTGACTTCTGGCATCTGAAATGGGCCCAGTGGTTCCCTT